CCCCCCCCCCCCCTGCCCGAAAATTTCAAATACCCCCTCCCCCTCCCCGGAGAAAAAAAGTGTGGATGAAACACTGAATACCTGACAAGCGGCTGGGCATAGTGCTGACCATAATATCCTATCATATGCCAAGGTCAGAGAAACAGGTCAACTCTACTTCACCTGCCCCATTGGACCGTCAGGTTATAGAGGGTAACTTTTGTTTTCTCAGAAATGAGTTTTATCAAATAGGCAGCTAATATTATTGAAGCTAATTGTGTCAAGAAGACCCTGATTGCGGCATGCAACACAACATAACATGTATGCGAAATAAATTCTGAATTTTGCGGAAGTTTGTATTTTAATTTACGTCTAATGACAGGGTGATTAAAGGAATTGTTAGCTTAATAATTCCCGTCACAGAATTCAATATAGAATCACAAATTAGCTCGAGATGGATGTTTGCTAGGTAGACAAACTCAAGACTTCAGGTTCTCTGTCAACTGCTTGTGAGCTATGTTGTTTCAAGGTCGTCTAGGTTCACCTTTACCATAGATTTCATACTGGGATCGGGGTAGGGGTCGCCGAACAAAAGTCCCATGAAAAAGTTACATTATATCCAATGTGCGCACATTATAAACTTCCCCTGTCTTTCCTAATGAAATGTAGTTATTTCTTAAGTAATACTTCTAATAATATCAAGTTGTTTCTGTTTGATCAATGGATGTTATGAACATATGAATAAAGAACTATTCATTTTAGATTGGTAGCTAGGTAGATTTACCTATAGAAATATTAACTAGTGCTTAAGATGTATAAATAAATATTTTATGTTGTGTGGTTTTGGTTAAAAGCAGTGTTAACCCGTAGCTTAGATATATAAATAAACCTCTCTAATGCAGGACTTCTTGGCTTCTCTGGGTCACTCTTCTACGCTGTCGGTTTTTACAGCATCGACACCTTCAACATTCACCTTTACCTGAAGACACAGCTCAGCTACTCGTTCGGTCTGACCCTGACGGCCTCTCTCGTGATGCCTTTCTCCGCCTGTTTCTTCCTGACCGGTGCCATCAACATGGTCAGTGCCAGCCGGGCCCCTCAAGGTCAGGTCGTGTCATCCGTCCCGGCCCCCATGTCTGTGTTGTACACGGGGCAGAATGCGATGGTAGCCTACCCGTACCAGCCTAACCAGATGGTAGCCTATCCATACCAGCCTAACCAGATGGGATCCCAACCTTACCCGACAACCCAAATGGGATCCCAACCTTCTCCGACAACCCAGATGGGATCCCAACCTTATCCGACAACCCAGATGGGATCCCAACCTTACCCGACAACCCAGATGGGATCCCAGCCGGCCCAGACAACCCAGATGGGATCCCAACCTTACCCGACAACCCAGATGGGATCCCAACCTTACCCGACAACCCAGATGGGAGCCCAACCTTATCCGACAACCCAGATGGGATCCCAACCTTACCCGACAACCCAGATGGGAGCCCAACCTTATCCGACAACCCAGATGGGATCCCAACCTTACCCGACAACCCAGATGGGATCCCAGCCGGCCCAGACAACCCAGATGGGATCCCAACCTTACCCGACAACCCAGATGGGATCCCAACCTTACCCGACAACCCAGATGGGAGCCCAACCGGCCCATACAACCCAGAATGGAGCTCAACCCTTCCAACCAAAGCAGATGTATGCACCATCTCAGTACCCGCCCAACCAGCAATACGCTCACGGACAATTCCAGGCCAACCAGCACTACGTTAATGAACAGCCACCCCCTTACCAACCCAACCTAGCGTCCATGCCGGCTAATGCTGCTACCCCCGCTGTATCTTCACAACGTTTACACGAATACGATGAGACTAACGTCTACGAAAATTAAACAAATGTATCCGTAATTTATTTTTTGTGATACACTGATCGCTGCTGTTTTACATGATAAACTAGCAGTCAAGACTATAATTTATACTTCACGATTCAACACTTTTGTACTTTTTTTGTTTTTACAGATTCGTCGTTTATTGATGGCCTTGTTATTTAAAATTTTCTTAAAATCTTATTTAATTTACATAGCGTAATCCAATGGAAGGGAAATAATTTAGCGCATCATGCTCGGAAGAGAGATTAAACAGCGTTATCAGCCTTTTTAGAAGAAAGCGGTAATTACAGTAGATTCTATAAAGTAAAGCTTAATTTTTGTTAGCTATAATAAAAAATGCTCTTTTTCTAATTTAGTGCGTCGCTTGTTTTTACAAATTTGTTTGGGTTAGGCTGATAGAAAGAAATCGGTTCATTAGCAATGGGTTACAACGAGATACAGATTTCACTACAGCCATACATATTTCCATACAATCAAACATTTTGACTTAACAAATAGCTACATTTTTGACATTTTAAAATAAATAAATAAATGCCCTATCTTCCGAGATAACATAGCTCAATCTTTGGAATCACAATCCTGAGGTGGAACAGCTTCATTATTATTTTTGTGTGTACGATTTCCTTTAAAAGAAACTACAATTGTAATTTTTATTGTATTTATCATTCATTTAACCACAACTTCAATTCCTGTGAAACCTGAAAATGTTATCGGTGTAAAACAAAATGATATATTTTAAACATTAAAACATTTCTGAATTAAAAAAAAAATTAAATATATGTCAATTTTTATCAATGCTGTCCTGTTTTAACAGGTTACTTTATTGCTGGGTTGATATATATTTTCTAAAAAATAACATTATTTGTTTTATTATTGTTTGATCCAAATAGACAACAATTAATAGACCAATTACTGATTCAAACTTGATGCAGTAAAAAGATTATCAGGGAGATCAATCAATTGAATGTATGGAAATCAAATACTATTAAATGCAAATTAAAAAAAAATTACTAAAGACTGCATCGAACATTTTTGATTAAGTAGCCTTTTCAAACTATTGTTGTTTTTATTTTTGAATGAGAAAAAACTCTTGTGAAATATGAAATGGCATAAGTTTGTATTTTATAGACACTAACCAAGTAACATTTTCGTAATTAAAATTTTGTGTCATTAATGTTCAATCGACTGATGTTTTAATAAATTCCAAAGGTACGTTTGCTTGAGGTATTTTGTCAGTGATACGTTGTACTTGTGGCATCGTGTCATGTCGATGTTTAAAGTTAATATAGAATCTATTTTATCTCATAATGCAGTTGGTGTATTTAAATTTTATAAAATTATTTTCGGACAATTCTCAATGTGTCATTGGATAACATTTTAAAATCGTTATTGTATGATTAATTTAACTCATTAGTTTTATAAGTAAATACGAGAAATCATATTTATGTGTTTAATATTTTAGAATTACAAAAAAACTTTACATTGATAATTAAACTTTCTTCATTATATATTTTACGCATATTTTAAAACTTAGGAATAAATTTTTTAACATTAGAATTAAATTTAACAATAGAGGCACAATAACATGAAAATAATAAATGCTCTACTTAACTTCTATTAAGTGACAGTAAAAATAGAATATATGATGCATTACAAAAAATATTATATAATGTTATATGAAGCACATTTTACAACTCAATTTAATTTTTACTAGGTGACATTAAAAATGGAATAGTGTATGACAATAGAAATTAAATAATGTTAATAGAAAACAGTTTACATTTTGTGAGTGTATATTTAATTTTTTTAACACGCTTACAGTAAAATAACTGCAGTGAAATGTTCAAAATAAATATCCTAAGCCAGTGATAAAATTTAAACTGCATTATTACAACATAAGTGTGAAAATAGGAATAAATATACATATTTTAAAACTTGATTTCCATCGATGATTAGATTTTACGTAGTTTCATCTCAACTGATTTAACTTCTCCACTCCAATAAACTCCATATGAGCTAGAAGCACCATAGATTCCGTTTAGATTTGATGCAACACAACCATAAAACCACCATCCAGCCTTGTAAGTCTGGGCACAGCTGCCTTCGAATTCATCGTTGTCACTGTCAGGCGTGGAGAACTTCATACCATTGTGGGCGATTAAAGCATCTGAAGCGTTGCCCCTGAACGTCGATAAGCTAATCTTATACTTGGCGGTTTCGTTGTCGACTTTAAAATCGCAATACTCTGCGAATTGATTTGTGCTTCCAATAATCATATCGACCCTCAACTCATTGTAGCCCTGTATCATTGTAATATAGGTACATTGCAGTTAAATATATTATATTGAATATAAGCAGGTGAGCCTGTTAATATATATCGCAGTGTAACTGTTTTACTACCATAGATATTTATACCCTTGCCACTAGCCCGACTGTCTCGAGTTCAGATCTTTGTTCGGACTTGTGACTGTCCATGAGTCCACACAGCTCTGATGGGCACCGGAATTACCTTGGGGAAATAAAAGGCAGCTGGGCAAAAGCACTGACCACACCATCTCTTCATATGTCGAGGTGAAAAACATATGAAGAGTAACTTTACTACCTTACTTTGACAAGAACGCAAATGTCACATGTTTAAACAACGGAAAATACACAAAACAAATGGCGTTTTCTTCCAAGGTTAGAATATTAAGTAATGAATCATTCAAATTTAATTTAGATCTATAGATCTACTTATCAAGACGTACGCTATGAAATGTATACAATTTTCTCGGCCAAAAGTAATACAAATACTTTTAAAAAATATATAAATACCATTGAACAGCCGCGTTTCTAACGGAATCACTAGTTTTAATGCCCCAAAATTCCCAAAAGTTAAGTGTTTTGAACGGACACAAATTTGGAAAATTCATAAATAATTAGTTTGAAGATATGCACTAAAATTTTTTAGCTGAGTGCCCCAAATTTGGAAGAAGATTATGAATTGATTGTTTATTGGGCTTAAAATGTTATATTTTATGAATGGTGGAAAACCTACGAAGGGGTTAATTTTTCAAGATGGCCGCCGTTGTCATAGTTACCAAGATTTTTTTTAGTGGAAATGCATATGCGGATGTATCTTAATAAAGCTGTAAAGAAATAACTGTTTTCTATCGAGTATTAAAAAAGTTTTTTTTTTACCGGAGCCTTCCCCCTTAAATGTGTATCTTTTTGCTACTTCAAGCAATTTAAATTCATTTTAATGATGTCGGATGGAAAAAGGAAATTAAAAACTACTTTATTAACTGATTTCTTTACAAAGAAAAGTAAAACTGAAAATGATAAGAAATTTCCATAAATTCAGCACTTTTGACTGTTTCTTATGCAAATGATATCGGCAATTTTATTAAAGGAGTTATAACAGATGATACACGGTTGTATTTATTAGAAAACATCTGGCGTCCTGATGAACTTTTAAAATTTCCAGCAAGCGGACAAAGAAATTTAAAGTTTCAATATTCGTGGCTACTTAGGTGGGACTGGTTGACTTATTCCAAATTACTTGATGGCGCATTTTGCAAATATTGTGTTTTGTTTAGTTTGAATTATGGTGGTGTAGGTAGTCAGCCTTTACTTCTTCTTCTTCGTTCTTAATTGAGAATATGGTGGGGGATTTAGACAACAAGTCCAACTTCGTGAATAAACCGGACTGTGGTCCGGACTGTGGTCTCCAGATCAGCAGGTGCCCCATATAATTTTTCCCTGAGTGGGGTGAGTAGGGGCCAGTGTCTGACTCGCGCCTGGCTATATAAAGGACATTCCTGAAGAACGTGCTCCCTATTCTCCGGGGTCTTTCCACAAGGGCATATTTCGCCACACCCAATTTTTAGTTTTTTATGCATGTGTTGATTTAGTCTGTTATGGCCTGTTCTGAGTCGAAAGATTATGTATTGTTGTTTTCGTGTCAAATTGTAATATCCATCATCTTTATTGTAGTGAGGGTGTGTGTCAGACCACATTTGTGTTTGTTTGTTTTTTATGATTCTTTTGATTTCTTTTGGGTGTAGCGAGATTTCCGGTTGTTTATTCTTTCCTCCAATTTTTGCCAGCTGGTCCGCAATTTCATTACAATGTATCTGGCAGTGGCCCGGAATCCACTGCAGCACAATTCTGCTGCAGGTATTTTTTAGCCTTTCTAGTGCTGCCCTAAGTGATTGAGTATAGGACTCTGGATTTTTAGGAATTGCAGAACAGATTTAGCATCTGTAAGAAATAAAATCTGAATATTTGGAGATTCAGGGTGTTCTGACAGGAGGTTTGCTGCATGCTCTAAAGCTTCTTTCTCTGCTCTAAAATTGTCGTATAGGCTGTCTGTGGCTATTGACTTTTCCAGGCTCTCTCCGCTTGGCCATTCAATAAGCACGCCAGCCCCGCCATTTTTTGTGGCATCTTCAGCTGAGCCATCTGTGAATACTCTAATCCAGGTATTGCTGGGGTACTGATCCTTAATGTGCTTATTTGTTATTTTCTTTAGTTCTTCTTTATCATAGACAGACTTTTTTCTATGGTGTCTATTGAGTCACTAATGGTTAAATGACAGTGGGAGATCCAAGGCGGGGAGAGGTTTTGAGTTTTGATTTTTTCAGGAATGATGTTTTCGATTTCATATTTCTTTTTTAGATTCTTTGCTTCTTTGATGAAACTTGTTCTTTGAAGTCTGTTTGATGGACTGGGCTTCTGGAGTTTGTCTTTTAAGTTATGGTTTTCCAGTGCCTCTAGCTTTGTGTATTGAGTGAGGATTTTTGATTCTCTTCTTTCTTATATTGAGCTAAGAGCAGCTATTTCCTCCATAGCTTTTATGGGTATTGTTTTCATGGCTTCTGTCATTATCCTCAAACCAATGTTCTGAACTTTGTCAATTTTGCTAATATTTGATTTTGCTGCTGAGCCCCAAGCCGAAGCACCATATTCTAACGTAGGTCTCACATAGCTGGTGTACGTTTTTTTCAGGATGTGATGATTTGCTCCCCAGTCTGTTCCTGCCAGTTTCCTCATTAGATTAAGTCTTTTGATCCCATTACTTTGTGTGTTTTCTATTTGTTTTCTCCAGGTAAGTCGAGTGTCAAAAATGACTCCTAGTATTTGGGGTGGTCATTTTTTTCTAGCTCTTGGTTTTCTAGGGTTAGTTTCATTTTTTTATGTTTAATTGATAAGGTGAAGATTGAATAAGTTGTTTTCTTGGTATTAATAGATAAGCCCCAGTTTTTTTGTCAATTTGCTGAGCTTGTCAAGTGTTTCCTGGAGACGAAATTTTGAAGTACCAATATATTCCTCTGTGCTGATTAGTGAAAGGTCGTCTGCACACATGCTTCTTTTTACTCTCCTTGGGATGTTTTCATTTAAGTCATTTATATAAATGAGAAAAAGAGTAGGAGACACGACTCCTCCTTGAGGGACTCCATTTTTTATAGTTATAGTTATAGTTATAGCATGGAGACTGATGCTTTTCGGTTGTTTAGGTAACCTTTGATCCAGTTTAGCATGTTATGAGATACTTGATGGTTTATTAGCTTTAGAATTAAACCTTGCTCCCAGACCTTGTCAAAGGCTTTTTCAAAATCGACCCACACTATTGAGGTTGATTTTTTTTCTTGAAAGCTATCTTCTATTTCCTGAGAAATGAAGGTAGATCTGCCCTTCCTGAAGCCTGCCTGTGCGTCTGCTAGTAGATTATTCGATTCAAGAAACCAGGTCAGTCTGTTGTTTACTACTCTTTCCATCAGTTTACAAACGCAGCTTGTTAAACTTATTGGGCGATAGCTATCGACTTTGTTCCTGGGTTTTCTTATCTTGAGAACAGGTATCATGATTGCTGTTTTCCAAATATTTGGGATTTTCCCAGATTTCCAGCTTGCATTAAATATTTGGAGCCGTTTTTCTTTGCAATGGGGCCCAGGTGCAAGAGCATATCATTTGAAATTTTGTCAGGGTCTGGCGCTTGCTTTTGTTTGAGGAGCTTCATTGCTTCTCCAAGCTCCTTCGTGCTAATTTGAGCTACCATTCCAGTGGAGGAGGGGGGAGAAACTTTATGTAGTTTTTCTTTAACTTCAGTTTGATTTTTAACCTCTTCTACTCTTTGGTGGCTGATATTTATTTTTCCCATTTTGCTGAAGTGGATTATAAATTCTTTAGCTGCATCCTTTTCCGTTTTGATCGTGTTTTCTAAATCGATGACTATGGGAGTAGCTCTGTTTTCTTCTTGGTTTAGCCTTTCGCAATACTCCAGAATTTGTGGCCATCTCTATCCACATTGAGGTGTTCTGTTTTTTCATGCCAGCTTTTCCTTAATGCAGTTAGATACTTTTTTCTAAATACTGCGTTTGCTGATTTTAATTTTATGTTATTTTCTACAGTGGGATTTTCTTCAACAGTATTTCTAGCATCAATTGTCTCGTCATGGAGTTTCTGGAGGTCTGGAGTCCAGTTTGGGGTGTAATTTTTTCTTGCTCCCCTTGAAATAGGTGTTTTGGCTGCTAACAGAACTTTTTTTGAAGGCGGTGTATGACTTGTTCACCTGTTTTGTTTTGCAGTTGATTGGTCTTGTGTAGGAGTCTGTGAGGGAAGAGAAGAGCTCCCAATTTGCTTTTTTGTAGTTCCATCTTGGGAGGGAGGAGGCTTCAATTGGCCTGTTTGATGTTTCTATCTGGATCAGGATTGGTCGGTTGTCGCTAGTGGCTAGTTGATCTGCAACTTCTCTTTTGCATTTTTTGGATAAGCTAAGTCCAACATTTGTTAATGTTTTTCTACTAATTATTTTTTAAGCGCAATTTCCATTCTGGAGAATTGCGTTTATTAACTCGTCTTTTCTGGGAAAAGGATGGATGTGTGTTCGCAGCTTTAAGTCGTATCTCCTCCTCAACGAAGCAATATCGAGGACTAGTTCCAAAAGCAAATATGTTAAGCAAGTTCCGAGGATGATTGTGTGCCAAAAAATTCCCGGAATTTCTTCCTGGATTTCACGGAAAAGCCAAAAAAACTCGAAAAACTGCAGTTTTTGCCCATACCTCGGCAACCAGATCACTTAGCGACTTGAAACATTTACCAATCGATTTCTGCCATAATTTAGAACAATATTGCCGAAGAAAGTTTTCAAAAATATCCTTTCGTTTGGTCACAAATTCTAAAATTGCATAAACACCTACAAACCGATCGTTCTCCTAGCTTGAACGCACCCCAGCATTATACGTCAGAGCTATTTTTAGATAACATAAGGAAATTGCGCTAAAATTGTCACTAGACTTTTTAATTAACTTGTTTTACTTTAATGACATTTTAATTGTTTTCATCAAATCGCCTTTTAACTTCGGGAAGTCGCTGATAATATTCCAGGCAGTAATGTTTTAGACATTTTTTGAAAAGGTACCTGAAAGAAACTTGGGAATTTTTTTGCCATTAAACTTTTATTATATTTCGGAATGCGGCGTCCAGGCAGTAAAACAGTGCGGTTTCCTAGCGGCCATCTTTGCAACTGGGGTCCGTTTATTGAGCGCCATACACTATGGTCAGGGCTAGTACCTGATTCAACGGTCAAGTTGCACAGGCGCGTCAGCCGGCGCAGTCTTGTGACCCCGGGCTCCCCCCATGAGCATTACGGCGCCTATATTTGTTTTAATGAGCGCCATGCACTAGGGTTACGTAAGGATACTAAAATCGTCTACTAAATCCAATAAGGGGTGTCCTCCAGCGCCTTAGTTGTAGTAATGGTTGTTCACCCCAAGTTACCCAGCGGCTAGTTGAGTCAAAGGATCCGTTGATTTCGCGTCCTGCAGAGTCAGGGGTACGATTAAATCAACGGTCAAACTGCAACAGGGGTGGCTTTCGACCAGGGACACGGTGGCCTCTACGTTTGATGATTAAACCCAACCAAGGTTTGCATTACGCTACATTAGTGTAACCGGTCATTCGCATGACGCTCCTGACATCTAGGCGCTCACCAAAAGGTATTCAAGCTCATTGTTAAGGAGAATGTTTAACATACACTCAATGCTTTCATACAGTACAACCAAGGGCATCTGAGCTGTAGTTTGGACCAACCCGCGCCCCAGCAAGAAATATCCAAGCAAAACAGCAGTGACGTTGTTTAAATTTTATCTAGCTAGGTTTTAGAAAAACAAGGTCACACGACTAAAAATATACAATTGGTAACGCTTTGATGAAACCCTTCCAAATTGTTCCATTGGTATGTGGGACTAGATCGCAACTACTTGGACGGGTACGCTAGTTACGTATAAACATTCGTTAATATTCCACAGTGATCGGGAAGGAGATTTCGATGTCTAAGAAGGAATTTTAAAATCTCATTATTTGCTCATTATGGTGATGTTAATTTGTTATTAAACAAATTGTGTTACAAGTTCGGTTGTTACCTTATGCGTTTACCGGTGTCACCCCATCGTTCCCAACACGTTTGCACATTCGGTGGAGTGTCACCCCTCTTTCACTAATCTTTTATTATTTTAGCTGGATATTACTTAGTTTTGACAGTAAATTTTAAAATGTTTTGTCATGGTGTCACGCTTAAATGTTTGTCATCAGTTGCGGACATCACCTCTACCCATGCCTGGTGATGCTACTGTTTGGTTTACTTAAAAAAGGATGCCAGAATCTTTCGCTACGCCTCTGTGTATGTAACACGTTTTGTTGGCTTAAGCAATACATAGAAACCAAAACATATCATGCTTACAATAATCGACTGTTATGACTGTTCTTCATATGGCTACAATATATGTCCGTTACGTTTTATAGAGTTAATATTGAACTCACCATCATTGTAAGTTTTGAGATCCAGTCATTACCAAGCCAGAAATCTCCTGCCATTGAACCAAACCCATGTTTGTAGTCATCCCATCCCCTGGTGAAGTTTACATCACCCAAAACACGACGCTTGAAAATAAGATAAAAACACGAAATAACATAAGCACATAGTTGTTATAATATTGATGCACGAAATATTGAATAACTTTAATTGTTTTTTTTATAGTTTTTATTTTTCATAATAGACAAGTTAATAAAAAGTCTAGTGACAAATTAAGCGCAATTTCCTTATGTTATCCATAACAATTTTAAATCGAGATAAATCATAGCTCCTCCTCCTTCGCCTGCGTCTCGCGCAGTTTGCTGCTAAGCCAGCCAGGTCACATGATTTACCCTCCTTTCCTTCGCCTACCACTGACTTTTTTGCTATATAGTACTGTAATGTATTATGTATAATGTCATTTTAAATAATGCGGGGGTGTAGGGGGTGTTTAGTTGTCGCGCTTTAAAAAAAATTGTGACCTAACGAAAGGATATTTTTGAAAACTTTCTTCGGCAAAATTGTTTTAAATTATGGCAGAAATCGATTGGTAATAGTTTCAAGTCGCTAAGTGGTCTGGTTGCCGAGATATAGGCAAAAAAATGCATTTTTTCGAGGTTTTTTGGCTTTTCCGGGAAATCCAGGAAGGAATTCCGGGAATTTTTTGGCACACGATCATCCTCGGAACTTGCTTAACATATTTCCTTTTGGAACTAGTCCTCGATATTGCTTCGTTGAGGAGGAGATAAGACTTAAACCTGCTGACATCCATCCATCCATCCTTGACGAGTTAATAAACGCAATTCTCCAGAATGGAAATTGCGCTAAAAACGATCTAGTCGTTGAGCTCACAAATTTCGCTAGCTCTAATCACATTGTACACATGATTTGTTTCTCTCTCTCTCTCTCTCTCTCTCTCTCTCTCTTTGCATCCCTGACAAACCTATTACATATGATAGGATAAAGTAAAAGCGAGCGCCGAGCGGACATTGTTGATTATCTACATATAATAAAAGTAAACGATTTTTGGATTGCTGTTCTTCTAAGAGTCCTTACGCTTTCCTTTTTATACAATATGTCATGGAAATTTAGAATTTAACGAGATATTTGTTAAATAAGTAATTAAGGGCATTCCTTACTTAGATAATCGTTTAGTTTCTTAACTTAGCAGTAGCCTACCTGTATCAAAAGCCATCCTCCGTGGTCAGTTTTTGTGTCACATAAAGTTATCTTGGATTCGTCCAGCTGAACTAGCTGTCTGCTTGGCGAATTAGAATCGTGGCCTTGTCTACACTGAATGAAGATTGTATTTTGATTTGTGTATATTAGTTGCTTAATTGCAAAGCATATGTTTTGTATACAATAAACTCGCTGCATAACTAGTTGAACGTTTTATCTGAGTTGTGTTTACTGCAATCGGCCCTGGCAACCAACACCTTATTATGTAGACTCATGTAAAACATTGGTGTAAACAATTTTGGCTTTATATTCTATCAGACCATTGGATGATTGCACGTTGGAAATCCAAGCACAAAGCCTGATGAGAGGAGCCAGATAATGTCTATGTATCAGGCCCCCACTCTCCACACATGGACCAAATGGACAGGACGTTACCTATACAACTTAGAATCAGCTGTGTTTGATTTCGAAGTTTTCTCTCCTAAATGGGTTGCTTTACCCCAGTTGACGAGCCTCATGTGCCCGAGGGTTCAAACTCGGGCAGATGTAAATGATAATTATTTGACCAGCACTGCAACGTTTTTACTTTACATTTTGTAACATAATGTATGCCTCATATGCTACTTGTTTACATGGGATATTTTTCCTTCAGCTTGTAATAAAAATACAGTTAAACCAACACTAGATAAACAAGAGCAGTTCTGCTGATTTGACATTTTTTCGTCAACAAATACGTCACTTTATAATCTCGAATCTTATAATCTAACGTTTGTAATAAAAATACAGGTAAACCAACTACAGAAACAAACATAAACATATAATTTTAGAATCAAAATAAAAGCATGTGCCAAATTTTAGCAAACGTCCTATTTTGTAGCTACCATGTAAAAATGTTAACCGAAAAAACAGTATATATTACCATTTCTTTTGTCCAAAGTGTTGCATTGTACTTTACTTTCTTGTCCGTGTATTGTTCTGTTGTGTTCAAATGTAATTGGTCTGAGCTCTTAAATCTTTCCATAATCACCTGCATTTGTTCTGTTAAACTGTTTAATCTTTTTTTAACCGTGTCCATATCATTATCAGTTTTATCTTGGTTAGTATTATCTGTAATCTCTTTGTTAGATTTAACTTTGTCCACGGTGTTGTCATCTCTGCTTGTATGTGACATCTGTAGTGACATTGACATGTCCGCCCCTTTAAGTTTCCCTGGATCTTCAAACGATTTCAAGAAATCGGCCATAGTGTCCACAGTTTTGACATAGTTCAGAGTCTTAGCTTTTAAACTCATCATTAAATCTGATCTTCTCACTTTCTCTTTGCTGAGCGCAGCAACCTTTTCTTCAACGAACCCAATACTCCCTGTCTTATACGTGAAATATATCTCACACTTAAACATCTTTTCGTGACAAGCTGTTTCATTTGAAAGAAACAAGTTCAGATCTCCGCTATGCTTTGATATTTTCCCATCAGAAAATACCCCTGGTACTTTAAAATCTCGGATTTTAGAATCTGATTCTGAGATAGACGATAGTGGAAGACTCGTCCCTGGTTCGTTGATCTCATAGATTGACATGTTGATAAGAGCTGATATCTGAGTGTCTTCTCCTATGTTTTCTGTACACTGGAGCTGTGCACAAAACAATTCCCTGCCCTGGTAAAATAATTCTCTCTTCATCTCCATTTGTATACCTAGCGACAACATTTTAGATGTACAATAACTGGTGACCGGAAAGATGCGCAACAGAAGACGGCGTAAAAGGAAAACTGCACAAAAATGTACGCAATGATATTTTTTTTAAATAGAACAGTTATAGACATTAGCAAAGAATGAACACATGTACATTGGACTATAATAAGACATATTTCCACGAAATAGGACAAACTGAAAGTGTATTATTATAATTAGTTTGTATTTGCGCAGTTTTCCGTTACGCAGTTTTCCGATTGCGAATTTTTCTGGAAACCACAATAATTATGGGTTAGTCATGAAAAATTAATGCTGTAAGTTTATTTAATAAATTATTGGTATCAAGCTATTTAAAAAACAAACGTTTGGTATTATTTCATTCTAATCGCACATTTTAAAATAATCAATCTCTGTATACAATTCTCTTCATGGGGACCATGCGGGACACCACCAAGACGTAAGTGCGCATAGCAGTCCCCTCTCTTCCTCTCTAGGCATATGGCTACCACCCCCAGCCCCAACGGTCTGGTGAGCTGTGGTTCACGCCAAATGTTTACAATCGTAGAGCCGGGTCCAATTAGTCACGGCTATTAGGAGCAGACAATTTAGTTTGAAACGATTTTAAACTTAGCGTAGGTAACTAAGAGGAGGCGGCTTTCACGGGGGGGGGTGGTAGGGGTTTGGGGAAAGGATGGGGTGGTTATCGTCCCTAACGAGCTACTGATAGTGTTTTAAAGCAAATATTTTCAGTTGCAGCATTGGTAATGTCGAATTCACAAATTATGAATTACTGAAAAGTAGAAAATAAAACAACTAAATGGCGGCGGGTCTGCTCGTTATTATTATTTTTTTTAAAAGTATCGTTTCATCAGAGGGCTCTCAACAGCACCAAACTAAAGAAATGTACACCTATACAATTACAAAGTGAATGAAATAGGAAAAATATCTTCTGTAAAACACCAATTAATTAAAGAAAAAGTCAACGATAACAAAATGTACGTTGGTTTGACAAAATAAGATATTTAATTAAAATAAAATTCTAACACACTGTTCCATGACAAATGATCTCAGACAAAATATCTCACGGACAAAATATCTCACGGACAAAATATCTGAAGACAAAACATATCAAGACAAATGATACCATGGACAAATTATCTGAGACAACATACCTCAGACAAAATATCTCACAGCTAAATAGTTAAAGTATTAAGGATGAACGTCTGGGATATTTTGTCTGAGATCATTTGTCCTGAGATAATTTGTCCTGCCACCCTTACAGACTTATACATGAAATGAATGTACTAACCGTAACACATTACCAAGCTGCTGACTAACAATACGATGCTAATTAAAGCCGACATTTTCAAGTAGAGTTTTGAAAATTGCTGATGCTGTCGTGACTGTCTGGGTTTTTATTGTTTATATACCATCACATGACAAGCGGATCTGGGGTTAAAGGTCGGCCTGCAGATTCGACAACTTATCCTATACAAAATATTATATGCAAAACGGAAGTTGAAATGTATCGTTGGGATATTAATTTAGAAGAGTAGATTATGTTGAAGGCAAAGAAAAACATTGTGTATGAAGGAAGGGTTAGTGTTGTGGTTAGATCTGAAACCGTTGGAAAGTGCAGTCTTTCGTTCAACATTTGAATAGATTATGGCGAATGGCGAACGTTACTTAACTAGGGTGAAAATATGATTTATCCTGCCTAAGTATCGACCACCCCCCCCCCCCCCCTGGAAGACTTCTTTTAACCCTCAATACTCTACCATATTATTGACCGTTGCGATAGACAGTGGTTGATTTAGCCGTACCGTGATTACACATCAGTCAACTTAACAGCATAACATGGTATAAACGTAACAAAAGGTATTTAAACCCCACCATAGACTAACCACACATTTTCGCACACTTTGCCACATGATATTGAGAGACACATAATACCGTTGCTTTTTAAAACGCACATTCCAACTGTTTTAATAAGGTTAATGCATTGTACTTTTATAATTTTACTTTTTCTTTTAACCTAACTTATTGCACTCTCGGTACTATATTATGTTATAATTTCCATTGTTCCTTTTTGTTTCATGTTTATAATAATTATATTACTGTATTACCAAATTTGTAAGAACAATATCTAAAAGTAAAAATATTATGTTTTATTCTTGCTAGCTCGTAACATTTATAGTTCCTTTTTTATGTCCATAGGGAAGATGAAGTAGAGTTCACGTGTTCTCGATCACGGCACATGACGGTGGTCAGACATTGCGTGGTCGAACGGTACAGCGTTTGACTGCTAGGCGAAAGTTTCGAGTTCAGATCCGAAGCTTGATTTCGTAGGACTTGCCTGAATCTAGCCAGCTCTGATGGATACCTAACTCGTGTTAGGGAAAGACAAGGCGGCTGAGCATAGTACTGGCCCTATTATCCATTCATATGCCGAGATCACAGAGTTAAGTCTACTTTACCAGCCCCATGGGCAATAATGTTCGATAGGCACTACTTTTTGTTTTACATTTTATGCCCAGCCGCCTTTATTCTCCCTAAAGCGAGCCAGGTACCCACCAGAGCTGGATGTACTGGCATGTTCTACAGACTTGAGTCCAAGATCTGAACTGGATACTTTCGAGGTAACAGTCCGACCACGCCGAACAATGGGTACTCACTAGTTATACCACTACTTGTTATGGTGTTAGCGAGAGTGAATAATAATATTACTTTAACTGGGCTGCGACACCAGGGGCACTAGACTTATGTTAGAAAAGTGCAACCTAATAATTGACTCAGGTGTCGTGGGTTGGTATAGAACCACTGTCCTTGACTAGCTGAAGCCTTAAGCCAGGGCATATTAGAACATCTAAACGTCGACATAGTTGAATAACATCTTGGTCTTGTTAAGTAGAGCCGGAAAGCGGCGGTCAGATAAGGGGGTGGGGCGTAGACCGCATCATCTAACTCCTTTTAGGCAGTGATACAAATACCAAAAATTGAAAAACAAAATACTAATTTTGATAGGAAAATCTGTCCTGTCTGTTACGAAACGAGTAATTGTATGGCTGGTACTGATGGTGACTGCAGTGAGAGGTTCAAGTCAAACGCAAACACGATTTATGCTAGGCAACTTTAATGGTTACTACTTTAGTCTTCAATAAACAGGAAATAATCTTGAACATTAATAGTGGCCAGCCCTAGGGGCCAGCCCTATCACACAATACAAAAACACAAAACACGACTACATGCGAGCAAGCCTAACGTTCAACTGTCCTATCTTTCTGGCCCTCGCCAGCTTGGGGTCTATGCCTCGAATACAATAGGGTATCCCTTTACGTGTTTCCCCAAATTTGCATACCAGGTTAGTTGGGTCGGGCTCAGGTCAAAGACAGTCGAAATCTACTTCCCCTAGCCTGCACATCGCTAGGTAAGGCGGGGTAGATAGCCAACTAGTATCAATAATAGACTCAGTCATAACACTGTCCAGTAAATAAGCATTTAATTTATATAAGTCTTGTTTAAAAAAAAGAAGTAAGTACAGGATCCAAACCAAGTAAGTAAACCCTGCCGTCTTGCTAATAAACAAAGCTTGAGCCGGTGGTACCGTTAAAAAGGAGCATATATATATATATATATATATATATATATATATATATATATATATATATATATATATATATTAAAACGGCTGTTTTGTTTTGGTAAAACGGTGTATGGTCGGCTTTCTTGAGATTTAAAATAAATACGTAAAATGGGTAATTAGACAAGACAAGAGAAGACGAGTAACAATGCACAAGAAAAGGTTTTTAAAAAGTGACTTGTAAGCTTTGTTTATTAGCAAGACGTCAGGGCTTCCTTACTTGGTTTGGACACGGGTTAGTTTGGGGATACATTTATACACAATCTCTTATACCATACTCATCTTCACATGTTGAGGCAATATGTCAAATAACCCCTCCTATTTGAAAATTCATTATTTTTCTACGATTAGCAAGCGTGTATTTTACCGCTAGTCTTGTAAGTAGGTCAGCACCATCACATATTCATACTTGCCAGCTAGTATTCTTCAAACCAAATGTGAATATTATTATTAAATCATTAAAAAATTATAAAAGTTACTTCCGCTTTTGTCAAGTCATTTAAAATCGTAAACTGTGATAACAAAACACTACAAAATGGTTGATATCCTTAAACAAATATACTTACTTAATCCTCGTCACTCCCTTTGGAGTATAGGGTAATAACAAATCTCCGCCATTGCACTCTGTCTTGGGCGAGCCACTTTAGTTCATGCCAGGTTTTGCCAGTAGCCTGTACTTCTTCTTCCATCTCTCTCCTCCATGTTCCCCGTGATCTTCCTCTCTTTCGTTTTCCAGGGTGAGTCCACTTGAGCGCCAAGTTTAGGAGTCTTCTTCTGTTCATGCGAAGTAAAAAACAATATAGCCTACGTTAAATGGTGATGGATTTTAAAGAATCGACGGTTAGTTATTATTTATTCGAATCCGTAACAAGTTGTCATTAATGTGGTTTCAATAATAATATAATATTAACAGACTCGGCTTATCTATAATTAATTTGATTTTATTATTAGCAAAATGTGCATAGTTGTTGTATTTTGGGTGCTCATGGTATTTTAAAATCTTAAATCGACGCCTAGAAACAAAAACCCGCCGTGTATTTTGGTATCAATGTGAATCCTGTTTAAAAAACAATTAATATAGTTATGAAATTTATATAACCCCTTGGCTAACGAGAATTTTTATTTAATCGAGAGAGACCGAGACTTAAAAGGGCTATTTCAGTTTAATGTTTTATACAGTAAATTGAATTTATAAAGCAGCCAACACTATTATAGTAATAAAGTTAGATAATGCACTTATTTTGAACATATTAATAGAGACAAAGCTTTATTGTACAGAACAGCACTTAAGCTGTCAGATAAACATCTAAAATTTTATGATGGACACTCATACCATGTCAACCTCTTTCCTGTTGCTTTGTCTTTTTTTTTTAAATTTCACAAGGACCATCATTAGAGTCGGCCGTCAATAGTCTCTTAATGGGGTTTAAAATATTTTTTTTTTAAAATCTGGTCCGAATTTATTAAAATAAATCGAGTGTATAGAGGACAAATGCAGTATGTCCAAAAACATAATCTCGAGAAAAGTGATTTTTTAAATCGCATTTCAATATTGTACAAGAGCGTTATCGTAGCTTATATTGTAGAAACATTTTGCGCATTTGATGTTTTAGTATTTTCGGTAATTAAGCACTATTCTTTTTAAAAAAAGACAAAAGCAATTTGGTTTACACGTGTTAATGGAGACATAAACGGAAATCCTGCTATTCGTTAGGTTAGCAAGTATTTAATTACACAAACTGTAAACATAAACGGCAGTACTAGGTCATGGGGTTTAAAAATTTTATCGGCGAAGTGTTGAGAACAAGTTACTATGAATTCGGACTATCAGAATATCGATCACAGAATTCCTGTACAGCCAAAAGTGAAACTTCAGGTTATAAATTATGCTTGATGAAAATAAATTGAAAATTAGTCTTAATTTTATAACATTGAATCTAAAACTACAAAGTTTCTGAATTATTTGCAGGTTTAAAATTTTATTGTTTGATAGCAAAACGTTGTTTTTTTTTAAATTTTTTTTTTTAAACTACTCATGTCCTCAAAAATGATCGCGCCCCACTTGTCAAACTAGGCCGCCTCCACTTTAACTTTCCCATTTAAACATACAAAAATCATACAGCCAGGATTGTTATAATAATAGTGTTACACCAGGCACACATTTATAACGTATTAATAGAAACAACGTTTTATTGCGCAGAAAAAAACACATCACTATCGCAACACTTAAGCTGTCAGATGCATCTCTCAACTTTACTGAGTGTCACTAATACCATCTCTGTTCGGTTTGTATTTCAAAGAGATCCTCAAGTTTTACTTCCCCTTTAAACTAAAAAAACACAAGTATCAGGGATTAAAAAAAAAAGCTTACAATGTATAGGCCTACATGCAGATATAATGGGTTTAAAATATTGGGTTATTTGCACCTTGGTGTGTGAGGATATTCTATGATCCGTATCAGGTTTCTTGTTTTTACTTTACCCAATATTTCTTTTACATATTAGCATCCCGCGTTCAACTTCAGTCGCGCTGTGTAATTTTTGTTTCACTAACTAATCTAAACCCCGAGTTCCCAATAAATATCTCGCGAACACCAGATGTCGCGAAAAGTTTTCTGTGGGTTGCCAACGTGTGGCATAAAAAAAAAAGAATTTTAGTCATTGTTTGGAGTTCGAAGGTCAAATGGCTTTTATAAAAAAGATTTACCATTTTAAAAAGTTTGGGAACCTGTGATCTATACGATGACTTCTTCTTCTTAATTAATTAATTAATTTTTAATGTTGGA